ATATATTTTACCTTTCTATACTTGACTGCTAACCAGAAGACTGGCGGTTCAAACCCACCAGCCACTCCTCAGAAGGAAGATGGGGCAATCTACTTCCGCAGTGATACTGCCTCAGAAACCCAAGGAGGGGTCGCTATGAGTCAGGTCTGACTCGACAGCACATAACAACAACAACAACAAATGCATATAAATGAGCCCTGGTGTTATAGTAGTTAAAGCATTGGGCTGATAACTAAAAGGTCAGCTATTCAAACCCACTTGCCGCTCTGAAGGAAAAAGATGATGCAGGCTGCTCTGTAAAGATTTACAACCTTGGAAATTGTTGGGGTTGCTATGAGTCAGAATTGACTCAATGGCAGTGAGTTTATGCATATAAAACACTTAAAAAACACTTCCAAATACACTAAAATATCTTAAACATAATAATACAGTACATAACAATGATAAACAATAATAACAAAAGTACATATGGTACTGGACTGAAGAAAGAAAGAATCTCTGTGTGTACATGTGTGTAGGTATGCCAAAACCACCAAACTCGCTGCCATTGAGTCAATTCTGACTTATAGTGACCCTCATTGGGTTTCTGAGGCTGTAAATCTTTACAGAAGTAGATTGCTCCATCGTCCTTTTGTGGAGTGGCTGGTAGGTTTGAACTGCTGATCTTCTGGTTATCAGCCAAAGGCCTTATCCACTATGCCACCAGAGCTCCTTGTGTCTAGGTATACAGCACTGTTAAAAAAAAAAAAAAAAATTAAGGAAACCATTTTTAAAACAATTTAGATAGAAAAAAGATCATGATTAAAGGTTAATACTTGCTCTCATCCCATAGCTGTCTTTTGTACTGGAAGGGGCATATGTGAGGTAACATTATGGTAACGTTAATAATTGCATGATGCAGGGGAAGGTGATGGAGAGATGGCTGGTGTTGGAGAAGATGGACTTGGTACTAGAGAGTCAGGGTTTGACTCTGTTGATGGACAGGAGAGGGATTTACTAGTGGAACCAATTTCTTGAAGTAGGCATCAAGGGAGGTTTGTACAGAGCTTTTCTTTTTCTCATCATAAATGGCCTTGTAGCAGCTAAGGCCCTCGGTAACTAACTGTACATTAAACTTTGGTGAGCCACAAGGTATTCGGATCTTGCTCCTCCGTCTTTGCTATCCCTGCTTCAGTGAGACCCACAGCTTCAACTAACTCTCTTGTAAAAAACTTTTTTTGGTTCTGAAGTTTTTAGGTCCCCATGTTCTTCCTCAAATGTTATCATTTGCTGCTCCAGTTCCATAAAATCTTCATTGGTTAGTTCTTCAGCATGGGACTCAAGTAACTCTACAACATCATTTTCTCTGATGTAGAACTGCAGTCGATTACCAGTATCCACCACAGCTTGCCAGGGTTCGGCAGGGTCATCAGCTGTTAGCCCCTGAAAAACGTGTGTGAATTGGGGCCGCAGTTTGTTCCACACTCTTTTCTTATTTGAATGCTTCACTTCATCTCAAGAATCAGCAATATTTTTGATGCATCATAGATGTTATAATTCTTCCAGAACTCCCTTAAGCTTTTCACATCATCTTGGGTAGCCCTGACAGCTTGTGAAAAGTTCTGTCATAAATAGTAGGCCTTTAAGAAGGCCATGACTCTCTGATCCATTTGCTGAAGTAGTGACGTGGTGCTGGGGATAAGAGTACAACCTTTACATTAAGGTAAAGTTCATCTAAAATGCTTGAATGTCCAGGTGCATTGTCAAGCACAAGGAGAATCTTGAACTTTCTTGGCCAATCAATAATGTTCAACAGCAAGACAAAATGGTTCAAGAACCAGTCTTCAGAGATGGCAGTTGTTACCTAAGCT